GAAACCATTCACCTAGTCCTCCGCCGCCACCGCCGCCTATTATGGACGAAGAAGGCAACGACACTTCGATAACCGGGCTCGTGGACCGCGTGTTGTCTCCTCTGACGAACCATGCGCAGGAAACTCGAAACAGTATCATCAACAACGATGAACACCGATCCCGAGCCGGCAGTTGGCAAAACAACGTTGTCAGGGCGAATGGAAATGTGGGATACGGAGAGTTGAACGGCGATCTGGAAGTGCCTGACCATCAAGAAGGACGGAAAAAGGTTTTTTCTTTAGCTCACCGAGTTCGGATTTTATTGAAGCTTTCTTCTCTGCATTTTTTGACGATTTTTTTTTCACTCTCCAGAGAATGACGAGCAAAACGTACTTCATCGTCAAAGAACTTCTCATGACGGAAAGAACATACAGAAAGGACTTGGAGGTTATAGAAGTGGTGAGCGATAATTTTCTCTCACTTCTTTCAGTGCCTGTGATAAAATTTGTGCTGTTGGCCTAAATTAAGAAGATTATAAGTGTAATCATTATTATAATGAGCTCTTGAGTTTTCATCACCTGGAAATTAAAAACCAGATTAAGCCAAATTAATGATATATAACGTCTTTTCCTACTATTAGTTTAAGATTTCACCATCCCTCTTGACATTTTTTGAATTGTTCCACATCTTCAACCCATACAACAAAACCCAAACCTGACTAGGTTATGCGTAAGTCGCAAGTTATTTCTACCCTATTTCGACACTCCTCAGCTATAAAATCTGAGTAACGTTAGAAGATGGCTCCGTGGAACCGTGAAGAGGCTTTTCTTGTTCAATCGTGAATGTGGTTTCTTGAAACATTTAGTCTTTACTTCATGTAGAGTAGCTTTATTTTTTTCCGGTCTCTGATGTTTTGTTCTGGTATCTCTTTTTGTCAGTGGTTGAGAGATGAACTGATGTCGAACGACGACGAAACGCTGGATGACGGGATACCGCGACACGTGTTGGATAGCCTCTTCGAAATCCACGAGCCCATCTTCGACTTTCATTCCTTATTGCTGAAGGACATTGAGGAACGATTCAGGACGTGGGACTCAACTTCCGGACGACATCCTCATCACCACAACCACACCAGATTAGCGTCATCGGGTGGCTCAAGAATCGGCGATGTGTTCCACAATTCAATGCACAAGATGACGCCGCTTTACGTCAACTATCTTAATGGACATCGTGACGTGATGGAAGGCTTGGAGTATGCTCTCAAGGACTCGATTACGTTCGATCAAATCATCAGAGACTTCGAAGCTACGGAAGTTTGCTATTTGCCGCTTTTTACTTTCGTCTTGAAGCCGTTGCATCGGTTGACGCATTATCAAGCTTTGTTGAGGAGTGAGTCCCGAATCTTCCGTTCATGCTTACGAACTCAATACCAGATTCCATAAACTGCCGTGGACCTTGAGTTTGTTCGTCTCCCGGGACAAGTTTAATTTGCCTTCTTGTTTCAGACAAGGCTTTGAAATGATGACGAGGGAAAAGGAAGAATTTTTTTTTCACTTTTCATGCTACTTTACAGATAAATATTCATCAGATATCCTTTGTTTAATGTACGCTGGTTTATAAATTTCGGTGTGCTTCCTCATTTAATCACTCCGTAGAGATGTTCCCTTGAGTGCTTTACTTTCGAAACTCTATATACGGTACTTTGTCTTGACTCATGTTTTACGTAAATTGTATACCCATTTTTCTCTTTGAAATCCTGAAGACTTTTTCTGTCTCGAAGATGTTAATTGATGTTAGTTCGGATTAGGTTATGTTAGTGTAAAATTTGCCTCATATTTCCGTAAGCAGTTCCTTACTTTAACCTTTGCTTTGTCGTTTTTTTTTTTCAGGACTCGTGGATCATTACCCTATCGACCATCCGGACTTGACTAGTTGCAAAGCAGCTTTAACTCTAATGACGGACTTGGTAGCACGGGTTGGCGAGGTTTTGCCAACATCTGATAATTACGCAAAGTTGGTTGAGCTCCAGCGGGAATTGAAAGGATTCGACGCGCTCATACAACCTGAAAGGCACTTCATTCGCGAAGGCTCGCTTCAAAAGTTGTCTCGGAAGGGCTATCAACAACGGATGTTTTTCTTGGTGAGGGATATTCTCTCTTTATCTGGGCCACGAAAGAGTATGTGGCCCATATTTGTTCCTAAAAATTTTCTTATGGCCTTGACGTTCGCGTGATTTTGACTGTACAGCACCTTTACTGAAGAAAAACTGGTTTTCCAGTAATACGTGTAAAATATATTAACCGCGTTGAAATGGAAGTGCCATACAAATGTGGAAAATTTTAGAGAAACTGCGTTAAAGTTTGCAAAAGTTGAGAACGAGAGGAATTCCCGGGGAACAGTGATATAAATCCCAGGGAAGGGATGCTTTACTGGTTCTGGTTAGAAAATCGACCAGTTTTGAGCATCAGTCATGTATTTAATTTAAATTGCATCATTTCATGAACAGTACAGACATTAAAGGGTTGTAGAAGTTTTGCATGTGATGACAATTAAAATCTCTCATTACTCAAAAACTATTCTCTGAACAACAAAATAATTTTTGGAGTGCTCTCTTCAAAGATTCATTCAAGGAAAAAGTGCAAAAATCTCAGACAGGAGTAAACCTCAATAATAATGTATAACTGAAAAATTTCACCATTCCCCACGATTGTATGCTGAGAAATGCAGAAATATTCACCACTTTGTTTGAATACATTAACTTTTTAAGATTTAACATTGAATATTCATGCTAAGTGCAGTTCAGGTGAACACGAAGTACACTAGGTGCATACTAGTGCAAAGCCCAGAGTCAAAGGTTTAGACAGACTCCTCTTGGGCAACATTTTTATGCAACACATTTCTACAGACAAGAAAAAAATATGTAACCCGTACGCGAATCCGGTATCATTCAAGCAAAGCTGAATGGTGATAATGAGGATGAATTTTGCTGATTTTTTGCCAGTTTTCCGACGTGTTGCTGTACGCGGCACGGGTAACCCAGCCGAGACTCCATTTCAAGATCCACGGAGTGATCCCGTTGCGGGACGTGATGGTGGAGGAGGCGGACAGACGGTCGACGGCGTCCCACTCGTTCACCATTTACGCCAACAATAGAGCGCTTCTCGTGGCTGCGAGCACGGCGGATGAAAAGCGGAATTGGCTGCAGGACTTTTCCCGTGCCATTGCAGACGCGCGAGAAAAGCCGGAAACGTCGCTGCAGTATTTGTCTCTCAAGTCTGCCAGTTCGAGTGAGGATGTGGGCGGCGGCGACGCGAACAATGCCGGGGATCGAGGAAATGGCGCCCCTGCGGTCAATCAGCGCAGCAACACGAGTGTTCACGTTTGCTGGCATAGGAATACTAGTGTTTCGTCTCTAGATCTTCGACTAGCTGCTAATGTGAGTTACCGGGGGGAATGTCCTGTTGTATTTTCGATCCTCGCGAAGCATATTTACTGGGGAAAAAACTACAGCATACTGTCATGATACACACTTCCGTATACATCACTGAATTGAAAATGTTGCAGGGTAGGGTTAATGCGTTCTGGCCGGGACTGTCGAAATTAAAATCGAAAGCGTCACACAACTCGCTATTCCCTTTTTTTTTTATGGCCCTGGAATTGATTTTTTTTATAAAATTTTCTGGTCGCATTCATTCAGTGATCACTACACGAAAGTCTCATGTAAACTGAATAGACACGAATGAGAAACCCTGAAATTATATCCAGAAGCAGACAAAAGTTTTGTCTTTGAGAAAGATGAGGAATTTTTCTAAAAGACGAGGGTTTTTTTGTACATCATTAGATTGGATTGATTGCGACTCATTATTTTTACGAAAAACGCGTCTTTCACGTGTTCCCCATAATGCCTTTTATCCTGAATCACAATCTGAATATATATTTGTAAAATTATTCTTGGCGTATGTCCTGTAGTATGTTTGCAAAGCTTGTCAGTTTGTACTTTTGTGCGACGCGCAACAGAATTCTATGATCCCTATTTAAATGTTTCGCGTGTGATTGGAAATAATATGCGGTTATTTTAGCTGACGGGTTTCGAAAGTCTTGGAAATTATGACCGGTGATGTCTTCTCTAATTCAAGGTCTAAAAAAGTAAAAATTTTCAAGAGAATTGAAATATGATGCAAAAAATTGCGTGTTATTTTCTTTTTAATGTTTTAATTTGTTTCCCTTTTCAGAGTCAGCTGAGTGGATATTTGCTCCGGAAATTCAAAAGCTCTTCAGGTTGGCAAAAGTTGTGGGTGGTGTTCACGAATTTCTGTCTGTTCTTTTACAAAACGGACGAGGATCCGTTCCCGTTGGCTTCCCTGCCATTGCTTAGTTACAGAGTAACAACTCCGTCCCCGCAAGATGAGATTGCCAAGGAACATGTTTTCAAGCTTCAGTTCAAAAATCATGTGTACTTCTTTCGTGCGGAAAGCGAGTATACTTTTAATAGGTGAGTCATTTTTTTAAAATACTGTGCATGTATTCTGTGTAAACTCTGTAAAGCATTTGTGGCGCTATGATTCCAACGTAGAGCAAGCGGCCTCTCGTTTTTTATCAATAATATTCAATAGAAAAACCAGTGGCGTTAGTAATCATCTTGGGTTGAACGCATGCAGCATCGAAAGGTGAATTTTCAAAAAAAATTGCATGAAGCAGGAGCTTTTAGAAAGTTCATTGAGCGCTCGGACTTATTTCTCTTCCTTGTAAATCAAAGCAGATGGAATTTAAAATTGTTATTGAGAATGAAGTGTCTATTCGACTTACGGTGATAGTTACCCAGTCAACAACTTCCATCATTGTTGAAGACAGACTGCGGAAATACAGCATATTTCTGGTTTGTTAGACTGCGTGACATGGTAGTTGTCTGTGTAATTTTAGTGTGATTTTCATAGTTTAAAAAATTGCGCGTGTGTAAAAATATTGCCTTCAACAAATCACCCGAGTATGCAGTTCCTGATTTTAAAAAATTCGGATGCCTTAAAAAAATCGTTACTTTCCATGTTCCTGTGCGCTGTGAATTCTGATTACATTCGCAGGCTTGAACTACTGCGTATTGTTTATTGAATACAATCCGAATGTTCTTGTCTCAACAGGTGGATGGACGTGATTGGAAATGCAACGAACCGGAATTTCGACGTAACTTCGGAACTTTTACGTAGTTCTCCGATGTAGAGAAATTTTATTTCCTGGGGGCGAGAGGAACAGGCGTGTTTTAATTCCCTGACCGGGCATGTGTCGGTTGCCGCTGACCGAGTTTACTTGAAATTTTCAGCTAATTTGACGGACTGAATTTGGGTCGCTTATATTTTTCTGAAGCTTAAACTTGCCCGTGATTGCCGGCGATTCGACTATTTATGTTCAGCGAAACGGGGATCGTGACGTTTTGATCAATTTGCTGCTAATGAGAGTGCGACGGCTATTTCGAAAGGATGTATCCAGAAGCTTACTATTGCTTTCAGATAGTGTGTTAATTTTGGTATTGTTATCGTTATTGTACAAAAATGGGTTGCAGAGAAAAATACCAAGAGATTCAGGAAAGTCCTTCACGTGTTCAATTTTTTTCATGTCTCTGAAATTAATCCCAATTAAGTCGATTATGATTGGAAAAATGCATGAGGTTGTTCATGGACCCAGCGGATATTCATGAATCATTTGTCAAGAATTGCTGACTTTATTGTTACAAACGTATTCACATTAACCTTGGAGACATCAAGATTTCTTCATGTACAGTACAGTACTTTAAACTGATCTCATTTTCACGCGCGAAAAATAAATTTGACGTCTGACATTAGATTAAGTCATGTCTTGGACTATACGTGGAGCCGTACCTTCACTTTTTTTGTCACATAGGAACATTTTTAATTTATCCGTTTCGATTGAACATTCAGTATCTTGCATTCTTCATAGCGATCACTTGAAACTCAAATCCAATCCCCGACATCAATGATGGTTGTGATGCGAATGTGTTTCTTCTCTTTCTGTCCTGAGTCGAATACCTGTTCATGCCAAGTGAAGGAAGTGTTTTCGGTCGTGTTTCCGTCGTCGGAAGATTCCGAAGTTTTCGGTGTTCTTTCGGTTTCAAAGCCAAGGTTCGTCCATATTAGAGGCGATCCTTTTTGTTCATTTCCTAATCTTTCTAAAACATTTTGCCTTAGAACCGTCGAATTTTCTGTTTTCCTGCAGGAATCCGTTTCCAAACTCGGCCAAAACCTGAAAGGTTCAAGTAACATCGCGAGAAAAATATATATTATTTTAAATGACTATTCGAAGTATTAGAAATACCATATTTACTTGAGTACCATCTGTAACCTGTGAGTAAGATGCGCACCTGGATTTCTACCAAAAGTTTGGATAAAAGCATATTTCTAAATAAGATGAGCCTCTCACTTTTATGAAAAAGATTTTCAATGTCTTGAAAAAGCTCATGAGAATCGGATTTTTTAATGTGATTCAACCTGGATTTAATCAATTTTAAATACTGCAGGTGCATTATTTGAATTTTAAAGGGTTCCAAAATTTTATGTTAAAATCAGGTATGATTCACATCTGAGCTTGGGTAAATAAAAAAAATTGAGTCTATGATCTGCATCTTCCGTTTTTACTCTAAATTTAAAAAAGAAGTTTGTGTCTAGTACTTCAGAAAATATTGCACTTCAGTTCAAAAGTTTGGCAGTGTATGTGTACATCTTCCCTTTGCTATTTCTGGCTCAGTCTGCAGATTCACATATCAAAATACTGTATCCTCAAATTCAAAATAGATGCTGTTTACATTTGGCCGATTAATCAAACTTCAGCAAGATAGTAAATGCATTTAATTGTAGATCTTTTCCCCTCATCGACCTGCATATTGTACGATATGTGATGGGATAGTATAGTTATGCAATCAATGATGAAATAATATTGAGTAAAATTACGCTTTTCGATAGTAATCAAATATTGATTACAATCAAGAAAAGATTAAGGATGGCAAAACTTCCAAACGACGCAGGAGGTGAAATGGTGGAGTACCTTTTCAGCACGTCTGTGTACGCGGATCGGTATTCTCGATGTCCGACAGCGTAGATGAGATTGTTGACGCAGTACATCAGAAAGTAGAACGTGTACGATAAAGTTTGCCAATCCGGATTGAATCCGCAATAATCGATGAAGTTGATGATTAAAACTGGCAGGACACAGAACGCATAAGTGCACACCAACAAGAACAACGTCTTCGCCAGAGAAATCTCTTGTTCCCTTGCCCTTTTCGATCTCTCCCTGCTCAACGTTTCTCCGTCATCTTGAAAACTTGCGGGAAATGAGATCATGAATTTATTTTCTACAGTTGGAACCTATCTAAGTAAAATATGAGTGAGACACTCCAAAAAAGTTACCTGAAAACTTTTCAAGTGAACGAATGTGGTGGAATAATAATAAAATTATTATTCCGGCCTGATGATAAAAAGAATTGATGATTCTTGAATGTCTTACCTTACCTGAAAGAATTAAGTTGTCTAAACCAAGTAAAACCCTTGTTATGCGAATCATCGAAATAATATTATTCATCTGTTCTGGGTCTGGTGTTCTTGAATTGATCCCCATAATCCAGTTCAACTTTTCAAAAGGACGATGGAAAATATGACTAGAGTGAGTTAATCAATGAAAATTACTATTGTTCATGCGGGATCTCTTTGTATATTATGCGGGTGTACTATACTTACGATTCCATGTCATTCGCTTGTCGCTTGACGTGAACGAAAATGTGCAGATAGCACAGAGCAATTATGCACAAATCCGGGAAAGTCCAGAGGGCAAAAATGAATTTGCGAGCGTATTTGATCCCTGATTGTCGGACAATGTCGCAACGTTGCACTTGTAGATTGAAGCCGAACGTTGCTAGACAAATCTGCGGAAATCATAAGTGAATTTATATACTTCCTCAGAATATGGCTTTAGATTTAATACAACAATTAAAGAATGATGCCATGAGTAATTGCATGAATGACGATGGACTCACCCCTGTGAGGATCATCAAGAAGAAGCCGAAGTGGAAAACCCATGTCAGTGCGAGGATGATGTAGGTGACTTTGGGCTGAGCTAGAGCCATGTAAATATCTCTGTGCCAATGGACTATTTTCCCGTACCTTCCAAAATTATAAAAAAGGAGATAAAATGTCATTTATCATCAAAAATAAAGCTCTGACAGTTTTAGTTTTTACCCATTATAAGAGGTATTTTATTTTGCACTGACGTTTCTTCAGACCAGGTCAAAAAAATGTAACCCCCAGCAGCTTATCGTCTATTCCTTATTTAATATATAGCTGTTTCGGATTATTCAAGTCAAATAATCCGAAAAAAGGGCAAGGCATCATCAAACGAATTTGACTTGCTTTAACGAGTTTATGAATTGGGGAAACTGCACTATTCTTTGCATAAAATAAAAACGGATCTCAGGAATTCCACATTGATATATATTTTCGCCCAAAACTGCTTTGTTTAAAGGAGTCGATTATGCTGAGAACGTAGAATAAAGCAAAGGTTAATTTGCCGAACTATATACTGTATAGCATTCACTTTCTTTTTTCGAATTGCATCAAGTTGAATTTTTCATTGCTTTTCTCTTTCATTCATCTAAAAATACTAGCTAAAGGCCTCCATAATTTTTTTAGTTGTACACTACAGGTTTTAGGGGGAAATCTTGGAACTATATAAGGGAGGTCTATATATAATGCATTGCTTCTGACTATCAGGGATTTATATTGACAGAAATTTCACATGAGGAGGTTTTTGACTTATTTGGGTGGTTTGAGTTATTGAGGTTCAAATGATGCGGAAATCATTTTTACCCAGAACACCAACTTCATTCTGATCAAGGGATGACTGACATTATTGGAAAAGCAGAGTGATCAAAATTATTCATGAAAACACAATTTTTTAATAACCCTTTGGATATAACTTTTAAATGTGCAATGTTAGTGCTGTTTACTGCTGTACAGATAGACCTTGCTAATTCATACATGCTTAGTCAAAAAACTGTTTATGTCAAATTTTTGTTTAGTCTTAAAGGCTTTATCTGAATCTCCTTTTATGCTTTTGAGAACAATGTAATACAGATGGTACCTTGCACTTTGACCACCCACAATTTGACCATTCTGCAATTTGACAGTCAAATTTTCTGGGAGCTCACAGCTCTCAATGTGACCTCTGATGCACAATTTGACCTTCAGAGAGACATGAAATGTCAAATGCCATGCAGAAAAAATTCCATTTGATGTTGTCTTGCAATTCAACTGCTTTGCAATTCAATCCTTGTCCAGCAACAGATTAGGGTCAAATTGCTAGGTACCACCTGAGTGGGGAAATTGGTGCACACTGGGGATTTGTTTGTACAGTAATTCTACACAATGACCCTGCTGTGCACCTGAAGTCTACCCAAGTTCTTCTGTTGCACATGCATATCCCCAATGTGCACCAATTGTGTGTTCTCACCAGGATTGCTCAGGGTCACATTTGTAAACAAATAAGTCAAGGTTACAGTTGGTGCATTTTTGTGATGCTCCTGTTATTTCACAATTGTGCACCAAGTGTAACCCTGGAATGGTAGCAAAATTTCCTCTGCAGGAGTGCACACTTGTAACCCCAGAATATCCCATATACACCACTACACCAGTTGTGACTTGTGATAGTTCTGACCCTGGTGTGCACCTACTGTGGGGTCACAGCAAAAATAACTCCCCACTTGGGCACCTGTACAGACCTCCCTCACTCAAAGGTTTCCCACATCATACCCATTTATCACATAGATTCTAATAAGAGGCTTTTGGGCCAAAACAATATGCTGTACTGTATTACCTAGAACCAGAAATATTAGGGGGAAAGCATTTTTGTTATTACGAACTTAGCAGTTTTGCTAAAGTGCGACAGACGTCACCTTTCCAAGGCAATAAGCGCCAAACTGGTCCATTCCAAGAAAGCAACGCTGTACCGCAAATACCCCGTGACTTTGCATAATGTCGGACGGTCGCAAAAAAACTCTGGACTCCAAAAGGTGATCGCGTGCATGGGCAAAACTAGGAGCAGGTATTGCAAATCCACGAATGACAAATTCATGATGAGAATCGTCGACACCCGATTCCTAAGCTCTTTTGCTGATCCGAGGGCCACAAGCGTCAGCAGGTTTCCTGAAACGTGAGTTTATCTTTTATTATCAAAATTTTTGCTCTGCCTTGCATTTTTTGAAACATTTATCTCGACAAAAAAATAATATTTTTAATTCAAATGATGCGCTCCTGCTGGTCCTCAGTAATATTTTTTACGATGTGTAGATTCGTATGACTTTTCTTACTTTGCTGATTGAAACGAGAGTAATGCAAAAATTTGTGACACGATATAGTTCTGAGTTTTGCAAGGCTTTCATGTACAGGTGGTACCTAATGCAATTCAACCATAATCCAGCAGTCAAATTTTGAGACACACTTTGTAAAATTGAGAAATATGAGCGCAAAAATTGGCCAAAGTTGGCTAAATTCCAGTGCAGAGGTTGAATTGCAATAAGTCAACCTCCC